AGTACGTAGTAATAAGAAGAGCGATGTTTAGTACCACCCTTTTATATTCAGTCACCTAATTCAAAATTTAATTCAACCCAACTCTCTTACTTTTTATAAATATAACTAATTAATATCAATCAATCATTTTCATACATCACATTAACTTTAATTCACTATTCATCCACTTAAATAAATTTTAACTAACTATCACTTACTATAATTTCTTTCTTATTTTACAACATATCAACTTTAATCATTATATTTTAAATATTATTCAATTTCAAATATACTTCATTCAAAATAACTTATTTTAACTTACCAATTTAGATCATAACCAATCTAATCCATATCCAATCTCCTAAATATATCGTTCCTTCAGTTATTTTTTTTTTTGGTACAGGGACCTTCCGGTTTCCGGATCCACAAGGGAACCGACTAATCCGGAATCGAGCCGGGTAGGACCACAAGGGCGGCAAAGCTCTCCCTCAAGAGTTTTAACACTGCTGCATTCCCAGGGCTCGAATATCTCATGTTCGAAACCGATCTTATTTAATAAATGAACATTAAACAAGCAAAAGGCTCAACTCGTGTAACTATAAATAAAAAAAGTCAGATTGGAGCTTTCACAAACCGATCGAATCAACGATCAAGTCGTTCCAAATAACATGGTGACATTCAACTGAGCTAAGAAGAGCTTCAATCATCAATTTCGAGTCAAAATGAATTGTTCTGTTTTTTAGCACTACATTTTGGAATGAAATTTATATATAGTAGGATACAGAGAAGGATAAATACACTACAATTACCCATTGTGGAAACCCCTAGACTAGAGTACAGCTAAACCCTCAATCAATCAAGAATCGAAAATCAATGGTCTACGATTCGAATTGCTTACCTTCAAACGACTGCCCGAATTCCCAATTTTGTGGGGCGACGTTGTAGGACGTGAGCGTAACCCCATCGCCGCTCGTAATCTCGAACGAGAGCGGCTGGTTTTTCAGATCCGCATTGATGAGCCAATTTTGGCCCCAGTTCCTCCCCATCGGCAGCCACCCCGTCCGCGAGCCCTTCACTTTCACCGCCGTCACGTCTCCGGCGCCGGCGACGTTGCTTATCAGCACCGACAGGAATATCCCGGCGCCGCCGATCGTGAACCGAACGCCCCCCTCCTTCCGGCACCCGATCCGCCGGTACTGGACGGGCATGTTCGAGGCCTTCCAGATCGCGATCTTCTCGAACGCCTCGATCGGGAGGACGAAGTGCGCGTTCGGCGGGTTGCACCGGCCGCCGGCGGCCGCGTCGAGGCCGTAGTTGGGCGCGCAGAAGTTTGTGGCGGTGACGATGATGGAAGTGCCGGGGATGCACCACCGGAGGTCCTCCACGCAGCGGATCTGGAAGCAGGCGCCGCAGATCTGGCCCCTGTCGAACAGGACGGTGCTCAGGGCCGCGGTGGCCTTGCCGTAGCCGCCCTTCTCAAGGTCTCCGTACCCGCACGCGCCGCCGACGGCGTCGATGGGGTCTGCGGCGGCGTAGAAGGTCGCGCGGGCGGGCTTCCAGTCGGATTGGGCGGCGGAGGCGTCCGAGGGGTTGTAGTGGGAGCGGACGAGTGGCGATGATAGGGAAAGCGTGAGGAAGAGCAGGAGGAACCGCCGTGCTGGCATTTCTGAGCGGAGGCGCCGGTGGTTGGGTGGGGTGGTGGGGGGAAGAGAGCTCACACTTGGGACTTGGGAGTGTGATTGTGAGTTTGCTTTACTAATTTGGTTTCATATTTGTGTGTGCCCTTTTTTCATATTTAGCGCTGCGAAAGCTAAAGTTTGAATCAATAATGAGACGTAAAGTGGAGAAAGCTCATTTTTGTGTTACTAAATGAAAATTATATAGCAATTAAATTGCAATCACCTGATTTTTTGGGCATTTGTTAGATCCTAAAAGTGAAAGTGCGTTGATTCAAGTGGTAAGTAGTTTGATCCTGCTTAAGTAAGGTCTCGGATTAGAATCATTTTGGATGCAGAAAACCCTTGCTCATCCACCACTGCTGGGTGTGCGACCCGAGTCGATCAACAGATTAGTCGGGACATAACTCGAAGTATAGCTCCGGATAACGTCGTTGTTGTTGGCTAAAAAAAAAAGTGTGTTATAAGTATCTGGTGAGATTTTCATTGCTGACAACGTTGGGACCATATTTAATGACTCTCTATCTCAATTTCTAATATCAGTTGGTGAGAGAACATGAAAAATTATTAAATGTGTACATTTGCCAGCCTATTATTTCAAAAATAAATGAAGAAAAAATAGATCAAAGAAATAACCCAAAATTTTTATTTTTCCAAAATTTATCTGTAGTGTAATTAGTGTTTTGGCTTTCAGTTTTTTCGATTCTCCTTTCATTTTTCAAGAATTATCAATTATCTCAATATTATTTCAAATAATGATAAATTCATAAACTATTCATTTTATTTATGATTGATATATGTCTTGAGGGAAATGTTACGGTTCTGTTACGGAACAATTCCGTCGATTACATGATGATTTGACGGTTACAAACTTCGACGAAATGATTCGGTAACAGGGTTGTAGCATCTCCGTATCTTTGAACTTTTTAACACTTATTAAATCTCACTTCAAATTAATATACTTAAAAATATATGATGATTTCCATAACAAAAATAAAAAATTAAAAATTTTTGATAAATGCAACCTTCTAAATTTTTTATTTGCTCGACAACCCAAAACTTTTTAAGTTTCATTTAATAAAATCAATTTACATAGCCATTTATTTATTTCTTCCACTAAATCTATTACAGACAACAACAGAACACATGCATTTATTTTTATACACACGAACTGCACAAAATCAAAAGTGCAAATAGCTAATTATAGGCAGCAGCAGAGCCTGTTTTGTTGAAAGACACATAACCAAAGGGTAGAAAGTAAAAAGCATTCACCTTTTTTTGAGGACCATTAATTTTGCACCTAGAGAAAAATTTCTCAACTGGCCAATTTAACAATGAAATAAATATTTGTTTTATTGCAATTTTTGGCAATAAGTTAAAAAATAATACTATCTTGAAGATTCATTTATGCAACCAAAAGAAATTAAAGGGAAGACTTTATTTATTTATTTTTATATATTTTGGTTTTTATTATGGTATGTATATATTGCAAAGATTTGCATGATCTTAATTCTTGTTGGAAGGCAACGTGCATAGAGTGAAGATCAAGGAAGAGAGAGGAGCAATATTTACTTTTCATGTTTCAACCTCAAGATTTGGAAAGGAAATCAAAAAGGAAGGAAATCACTTGGAAAGGACTCGACACCCGAGGAGTGAGTCTATATATATCCATCTTGAAGATTAATTGAAGGCTATTAAGATTATCATCATTCACGTTTTATTTCAACATTCAATTAAGAGTTCAAGCTTTTGTTCTTTGATTTTGTTTTGTTATTCAACTCTTCAATGTTCTTACACCATCGAAGAACTGTAGTTGTTTTCTTTAGTTTTTCATACTTTCTACAGAAGCTTTGTTTTAGTACTTAGGGACTGTGTTTGCTCGAGGGATTCAAGTATGTAAAGTCCACGTGAAGATTTTTTCATATCTTGTTTGTGCTTCTGCTATTTCAACTTATTATGGTGTTGCAACATAAATTGAAAATTTGTAAACATTCTGTGTTCTAACACAATTAAGCGTACTCTACGTAGTATATCCACGTTTCAAACAAGACATTAAGAACATGAAAGATAATTTAGATATACCACACTACACTAGATTACATGTAACAATTCCCAAGTTTCCTCAACTGCCTGTTCAACACATTAAGAACATGAAAGTTAATTAGATACACCACATTACAATAGATAATACATATAACAATTCCAAAGTGCATTGTCATAACGAAAAGCTTCAGCTAGTCCAACCAACTTCTCAGTCCACTCCAGTTCCCGCCAACAAGTTGCTTATCAATTTCGAGTAGTTCTCAAACTGCAGGCACGATTACAACTATCATCAGTTCAGGAACTCTAATAGCAATCATAGGTCACAGTGCAATCAAATTGCATTATAGGGAAATCAAATAATGCTAAACGTTAAAACAGAATACGACACTATTAGTAATAGAGCAACGAATGTATAAGGAAATCAAATAAAGTACCTCTGCAACAATTTCTTCAGATTTACGGTCCAATTCTAGCATTCTAGCTTCTGCTTCCTCCTTCACAGTTTTCCTCCTCGAAGTTAAAATATCCCCCTGTAAATGTTCCCACACAGATTAAAATTGCATGAGTAGAGTAGTAGACAAAATTTGTTAGCAAAACATATGACGTAAACAACCAAAAATGATCTGAAGTAGCAAACTCTACCTCGCTAACAATCAGTTCCACCTCTCTTTGCCTCTGTTGCAAAGAATTTCTCTTTGAATCCACTTCCAATTTCACATTTTTCAACTCTTTGTCTGCCTCTGCATGGGTTTGGGTTCTCTCCTTCTCCAGCTGTTTTTTGTACTCCTTTAACTGGTCAGCTGGATTAATGTAATAAACTCTAAGTGAAACAGCAAAGTAGGGAATACAATTCAAATCAGGTCAAGAACATGGCTACCTTTAGATTGCAGCTCCACGAGTTTTGCTTCAAGCGACTTAATTAGGACTCCTTCGTCACTAAGCTTGTTTTTGAGGATCTTCACATCTTTATCAACTGTCTTAGCAGAATTCACCTATGGTACCATGGATAGCCATTCACAAATCAAGCATCAATTAGGTATTCTATTCGGTAAGAAAATAAGACAAGCCAAAGTCAAATTGTGTTATGTATACAAGGGAAAGGAGTATCCTAGAGAAAACAAAAAGGAACCCATCATATTTCTTTTCTTTCTTAACATATTCTAATTTAATGTGGCTAGCAAAAGTCTGGGGGAAGGAAGTGAATGGAATGGTAGGAGTTGATATCAGAGAAAGCACAAGATAAACAGTGATCCAGTTCAGATAATGAACAACACAAGATGGTACATCATTATATATGTATTATAGACAAACCTGCTCTTGAAGGGTTTGCATCTGAGATAAGTGCTTTGACATTTTCTTGCAAGCCTGAGAGGTAAAAGAAAAATCTCATCAAGCTCATTGAGCTTCTGAGAAGGTGTAATAATTCAGTAAATGTATGCATGACTAGTTCAAATATGGCATACGAAAATGCGAAGGTTGTACAATTTCAGCCTCAAACATATTAGTAGTTAAAGAGTTCAGGATACCTTAGCATAGGCCTCCAGGGTGGCAGTCTTCTCCTGAAAGGACTGTACTGCAGCTCTCTCGGCATCTTTTGTTTCAATTTGGACCAACTTTTTCTCCTCCAAAGCCCTCTGATTTAATTATTTATTTATTTTTAATTTTTAAAAATAAACTACAGAAAAAATAAGAAATCTATAATATAAATATAAAATTAGAGTAAGGCTACTAAGGTTTCATCAATTAACAACCTCCCAAAGAAAGGAACTTACCCAAGTACGAAAAAGTAACATGTGGTGAATGCACAAAATTAACCCAGACAGATACATTTTGCATAACTAGTTCCACCAAAGCAAGCAAAAAATGGTTATACAGATTCACTCAAAGGTTTGAACCGAACATATATAAAAATGGGATGCTTCTCTTATGTAAGGAAGGAGTAAATGTCAGGCTCAGAGCACAGGGTTAACATGAGCTCCTAGTGTAATTATGAACACTATGCTAACATCCAGAGGGAAATACAGAAGGAAAAGTTAGTGGCACTAATTAAAATATAGTTGAAACTGGTTTTTACAAATGATAAGCATTGAGGAATGCGGGCTAATGTCATATAGAACCTTGCCCCGTCAGGATATGAGCCTTGATTTATAATCAAAGCCTCAATGGTAAAACACAACAAAAGTAAATCTATTGTGAAGATTCATGCGAACAGTGAGGTAATTCTACTCCACCCAACCTACTATGGGTTCTAGTAAAGTAGGTATTTCTCAGTAACAATAACAGTAAACTACAGCCTTCACATGAGAACATAGAGGGGGAAGCATAAAAGTACATCACCTTGAACTGTAACCAAAAATTGTTTTACAGCATCTTATAACATATATTACCTGAAGCTTGTCTGGGGACTGGACAATTTTAGAACGTAAACTAGCACTTTCTTGGGCAGTTTGTACTAGTGCGAATTCTGCATTAGAAATCTGATACAGAAATAACAGAAATCAGAAATGAATAATGTTTAAAGTCATGATCACATAAAGTTAACAGTTTAGAACCAAAACGTCACCAAAGTTCAAATTTTTAATAGAAAGCAAAATCACTTGACCAAAATACAAACCTTCTCATCCAATTCTTTGATTTTCTCCTTCTCTTGTTTGATTTCAGTTTTGAGTTTCATTTGGTACTTGTTGAGTTCTGAAACTCTCTGATGCAGTTCCTTGACTTTAGAACTTACTTCCTGAACAAGCGGCAATTCCTTCTCTCTCAACTCTTCGAAATCCGCTATCTCCGCATTTAACTGAGAAATGAAANAAAAAAAAAAAACAAAAAAAAAAAGTTACTAGTGAACTTATAAATCAATAAAGATCCAGTAAAACAATCGGCATAAACATTCCACACAATCAACCTCTTGAATTCTGTTTTGAGCCTCTTCTTGCCGCCTCTCAAAAAGATCTAAATCATCCCCATATGGTTTCAACAGGTCTAATTTCGTTTCTCTACATAAAAAAA